AAACTCTAGGGTTAGCCACTTACTGACCAAAATTTTACTATACACTAACTAGTATAGAGTAAAGCTGTACAAATGCCACAAATATCAGTATAATTATTTCCAGTAGAGGAGTCTTTAGAAAATGTCCTTCAAAAGAAATGTATTAAATATTTTATAAATGAATACAGAACATTTTACTCCAAAATACAAAATAGTTACTGCTGTTTATATAAAAAAAAAATCCTTTAAAATAGTCGGTATAATAAAATAAAAAATTAAAAAAAAAATACAACATTTTTTATAAAAAAATAAAAAATAGTCGGTAATCCTTTAGGAAAACCCTTAGAAAATAAAATACCAAAATATTTTTTAAATTTATATTAAAAAAGAGAAGAGACACATTGAGGAATGCCTTCAGTGTGATGCGTCTGAAGCCTGCATGGAACTAGTCCAATCTCGACTGGTGTTACGTCATTGCGTGTCTCGTGAAGTTGCATGTGAAGGTGATGCGGAAGCTATAAAAGGACTGGACGCCGGATCAGCTTCAGCTTTCTGGTCTTCAGCAAGCGTTCTGCATGACTGCACTGTCTTATTTGGTGTTGTCTGTCTGAAATCACATTTATCATCTCTCTATCTATATATAATGGCAAATAAGGAGAAACAATACAGGCAGTGTGCATCCCATTGCCCATGCTTTTTGAGCAAGGGTGACAAACTCATTTTGTGTTGTTTCTCCATGAGTGGAGCATGCATGGGCAACACTCGATCAACACTCGAGCAACACATTTGTGAACCCCATCACTCATGGGGTTCACAAATGCAGGTGGTGGATGATGTATGGAGGATCTCCTGCCTTCAATGAGCTGCTGGAGGTTGTGACCAGAGCAGTGGCCAAATTAAATATGAAATGGCAATCAGAAAAGCAGGAACCGGCCATAAAAAACAAACTCGATGAACGAGGTGTCGAGGTCGTAGAGTAAACCGTTCATGTCACGATTACTGTGCACCAAAATATTAATATATATTCATCTCTTGTGGGCTAGAAAGAGAACGGTTATGGGGTGATGCCGGAGGTGGAAGAAACTCTCGCTTCATATCTTTCAACCAACGCTGCATCATACCTAAGAGCTCCGGTGCTCCCCTCCAAGCCCTGCCGTACTACATCGGCTTTGGTGGGCAAGGCATATATGGCAGCGGGACGGGCTGGTGCATGCCTGAATACAATGGGGTTTTTGCAGGCATACCAGGCCGACCTCCTCAAATAGGTGGATGACAGCGGGGAGGTCGCCCCCAACGATATTACTTACATATTGCATCTGATCAGTAGCTGCTTATATGTATCTTTAATGTATCGTATCATTGGCCATGCATCGAGATGTGTATTGCATCGGCCTCAGCTATGGAAATGCACATCCCTAATGTTTTGGGTCACCTAAGAAGGGTTTTCCCTGCCTCTAAACAAACTATTAGCAGATGGATAGTAGAGGCCATTTCTTCATCTTACGAGGAACCCAATTTGCATTCGCCTCTCCAGATAAGAGCCCACTCAAGAGGAGTGGCATCCTCTAAAGCCCTGCTAGCGGGGGCCGGCTGGGCCTCCCCACACAACTTCATAAAACATTAAAGTCTGGATCTGCCCTCTACACTGGGTTCACAAGTTCTCTCATCTTGAGTATGCCAGATTGCGTCACACCAGGGTGGGTACTTGTGAGTGTGGCGCAGTGGGCATTTCTTTCCCCAATGTTTCGATTCTTGACGCAGCGTGAGTTCCCTCGAAAGGGAGAGTCTCGGGTTACGGCTGTAACCCTGGTTCCCAGAGAATGGAATGAGACACTGCATCCCTCGTCCACACTTCCTGCGCTCCTGAGAACGACTTGCTTCGACCCGTCAGAAGCTGATGCTGTTGTGATCCGGCGTCCTTTTATAGCTTCCACATCATCGTCACAAGTGACGTAATGTTGCAACACTAAGCGAGATTGGACTAGTTCCATACAGGCTTCAGGCACATCCCACTGAAGGTGCTCCCCAATGTGTCCTTCTCAGGGAACAAGGGTTACAGTCGTAACCCAAGACAATTTTCTTAAATAATACAAAAAGTTTTTTTTATTTTGATGGTGGCTAATTAAACCTCCAAGAAATCACATTTTATGTCCCTCCCATGTTTACATTTTCTAAATAAGAAGTTGGAATAAAATATGAATGTCTCTTTAGATGGTAAACAAGCTATTTATATGACAGCCATGAAGCATGATTTGCTACTTGCAAATCTGTAAAAATGTAATTAAAACGTATTTTTTTAAAGGGGATTCAAAAAATAAAAGATGTTATTAGTGGGAAAGACATTTTTCAGTGTTTTTAATGTTTTAACAAATGTAGTAACTATACTATCTTGTTGGTAACTATGGTCACCATGGTAAATTCTTGAATGGTTAACTAATTTAAGATTGTATAGTAATATTGTATTAAAACTTGCCTCTTGTATAAAGTAGAGTTTTACATATTGCCTCAACATTTAATCATGGCTGTGCCGAAATGCAAAGCTTCCTGGTGGCCTTAATTCTGAGAAACTGCATTGCAGGACATTAGAGAAGCTAAGGGAGGTTGGCAGAATGGAGAGGCTGAAAGCAAGGACACAGTTGGCAGCATGCCTGTGCTCGGCTGTGCATGCAGTCAGGCGGAGTGGAGGCAGGCCATGCCTTGGGGCATTGAGAGGAGGCCAATTCACTGCACAACTAGCCAGGTCCACAGAGAGAGAAAGCGATAGAGAAATTAATACTGTAAGAATATGTAGAAACTTCCAAAAATGACAGAAAAGGAAATGGCAGTGCTGGGCAAACTGAATTATTAAAAATCAGAAACGCTCTCAAAAGTGTGGGAGGGGTAAACTATAAACCTTTTCAGCGCATGACTTGAATATTAATTAGGATGCAAAAGCATTTATGGGTAAGTGGGTGTAGCCATTTTAGGATTACCGTTTTCCGATTACACAAACTCTACTTCCCCTAATTAATATTCATAAACCAGGACTGAATCTAGCCATCAACTGAATTCTATCAAAAGATTAGAAGAAGCTTCTGCATGATCCTAAAAATGTTGTTTGACAAAGCCCATGGCACTACATTTAGTTTCTTCACTCTCTCACAAAAAGACTTATATAACGATTTATGCTTAAAGTGTCCCTATTATGGTTTTACCATATGTAACAATCGGCGGGCCTAATTGGTAGAGTTACAAAATATTCCGATTCATGCAGTGTGTAAAATAGCTTTTTGTAAACGTAAACGTTCTGCAAAGTTGTAAAATCGAAAGTGCACAATAAATAAAGTTATAAAGTTCTCCCAAAAAAAAAAAATCAACTCTGAACTGCCTAAACAAGTCGTTTTTATTCAAATCCCACTGCTTTACGGTTCTATGTCGCTATTTGCATTAAACCTGCCCATGTTGTACTTTGTCCGCCTGCGAACAACTTGACCCGCCATCAAACACCTCATTTTACTGACGACTGCTTATTAAAGGAGCATTGCGTTTTTTTAACGTACGAGGAGTTTACGTGGGTATCTGGATTGTGCTGGAGGCTGATCGCTTCTTTTCGTCCACAGAGTCCATTTTAAAAACTACTGCTAGCGATTGTTGCTACTTACTAATGGCTGCCGCACAGATGCAAGCCCAAGTAGACAAGAACGTGCAAGAGGACACATTTTGTGAATTTTCACATTAATTCGGACCCAACGACTCCACACACAATTGAGCCTCCAGGCTGATAGAGGCAACCGTGGTGGACAGTCAAGGTGTCATTCCCTCTATTACATTATGGTTGGCTCATAAATGTACACATGAAGACTCTATCTTAAAGATTTTTTTTAGTAAATACCTACACATAGACCCTTTAAATCTTGGGAGTTTTATGTGGGATTCACAAAATGCTTGGCCGTGTAAGTTGAGTCAGTACCTAGTTTATTTGAACCAGCTTGCTTCTCAGAATCACAACCTGTATGTATAGTCTTACTGAAATACTTCTGCTGTCTGTTGTTCTGACTACTTTGAGTAAAGATAAAGGATGGAGTAAGATTTGTTTTACAAGCATTTGTTACATCAGTCATTCACATAGTTCTTAGCTAACATATGCACTGTTATCGATACAGTTCCTGCATGTTCACTGCAATAAATTAGAAAGATACACATCAGTATGTTTGAGAACATACACTTGTTAAAACTGATTATGAGAAATTGCAACATCATAATGTACCTCAAACTGAGTAACGTTAGTGTATCACTGAGAAATGTCCTGCTCAAGTCGTCCTTGCGATGGAGGTTCGGTTAAATAACTAGTTCTTCCAATGTTTAATCTTCAGACTCGCGCTCGGATTGATATGGTAAAATCAACGTCATTGTTCGTTACTGTCTTTAGTGTACAATCGCAGAGCTGTAGGAAGTCTCCGGATGGAGCTGAAGTTATTATGGTAATGGCCGTTTTTGTTTCTGACAGGTGCTGTAAGACTGGGCCATCACAACAGATTGCGCCATCTGGCCAATCAGAGCAGAGTAGCTCTCAGAAAGAAGGGATTTAGAGAGATTGATTTATCCTTTGAGCCGTTTGAGTATCACTGAAAAATGTGGTGATGTGCAGTGCAATGTATATTATGAGGGAATTAAATGATACATGATCTTTGATTCATGTAAATCTCTTGTAGGAGACCTCCAAAACAATTAGGAGACTTTAAAATAGCATAACGGGGCACTTTAAAAATTTGAGTGGATGAACTTGTACAGGTATGAGTTTAATGATCCCTGTTCAAAAAATAAATAAATCATGTCTGATGTATTTCTCCAGCTGGCCCCTATCAACTTCTCCTGTCTGGTGTGTTTTCAAATTATACAAGTAAATAATTAAAATCAAGTGCCAGGTGCTTGGTGGCCATGGTCCATCAGAAGCCAGGCACATTCCCCAGTTTCCGAGTTAACAAAGGTACTTTAACAGACTGGTACTTTAACAGTCAGTTCCTGGTTTGGTTCTCCCTTACCCCATCTTGCTTTTTCTCTTTCCTTCCTGCTGAATCTAGATGTGTTAGCGTCTGTCATCTTCTAGTGATCAATCAGCACCCAAACAAGCAGGGTCTTTGATGATTGCAGAGAAAAAAAAAGAAAAGAAATAGAGAGCGAGAGAGAGAGGAGGAGAAAAAAAAAAAGTTTCCTTTTGACGAGCATGTTCCATTGTGAGAATCCCCAACAGCCTCTGACATCTGGTTCCAGTTAGCACCATGACGCGTTTCCTGCCCGCCTGGGCCACGGTTCACAAGTCAAACGCTACACAGAAGATTGAGGAGAAAAGCAGACACGCACGGTTACGCCAATATCATCTACGTGTGTGTGGAAGTCCTGAACCACCTGTGAAGATTCATCTTATTAATTCTCATTAAATACATTAAAAACATGTATTTTATTTTTACATATTTTACTATTACATGTTTATTTATTTTTCTATACAATTACAAAATAGAATACATATAAATATACACATTTTATCTGACATTTTTAATTTAGCTGCATTTTTAATATATACATATATTAGTGAATCTCCTTATATTTATGTTATGGCATTACATTTTACATACTATGAGCATTTCAAATGTTTTAAACTGGTAAAGTAAAATGGCTTTTATTATGCGTTTAAATTGTAGTGAATGTGAAGCCGCTTTTCATATCCCTCTTCTTATCTGAACGCATTCACATTTGCACTGAATGTTGCAGCTACAGTTGTCATTATTGAGCAATCACGGTTCTGTGCAAAGAGGTATCCGAGCGATAAGCAATGGAAAAGTGTGACCCTCGAGAACGTGGGGCGTGGAATGCAAAATGTGCGCTGCACCTACACACACTCTGGAGGGAAACCCTACTGTCAGTGGGTGCATTTACAGACACAAAAAAACATGCATATACACACACACACACATACATGCATGCACCATGACTGGGGCTTGTGGGTAACGAAAGTGAGAATGAGGAGGAGCGATGAGCGTAAAAGTGAAAATGTCAGAAGTGTAGATATAGAACACGAGCCGACCACAGAAGGGCTTGCCTGCGTCGGTGGCGACGTTAAACGCCCCCATGTATGTGCTGCACTCGGCTTTGATCGCTCAGGAGCCAGTTTTCTGCCCCACTGCTCACTGAGGCCTGCTGCTGAAGCGAGGAGTTGTTTTATCATACACACAGAGATCTTCATCAGTACATGGAAAATCAGGTTGCAACCCACACCTACATCGTAAAGGACAAAACAAAGAATGCAAACAGAAATGACTCAATGGCCACACAGACCACTCCTCCCACAGATCCACATGATTTCCACAATCAATATTTTTTATTTTATTTGCCATAGACCGCTATTCAAAAAGCACTCCGTGGGCCGCATACGACCCTCTTGTTTTTTCTATGGCCCGTGTGGTGTTGTCATCGTCTTGGCAACCAGAAACTGCAATAAACAATTGTGTCTACTTACCAATTTTATAAGAAAAATGGTATTATCATAAATAATTTTAATCAACCGGTATAGTTTTTCCTATGCTGCTTACACTACAGAATATTAGCACACACATATATTTAGGGCCCAAGCCCTGAAAGGGCGAAGGCCCTATTGTTAGGGCCCAAGCCCTGAAAGGGCGAAGGCCCTATTGTTTTCCTTGGGATTATTAGGGCCCAAGCCCTGAAAGGGCGAAGGCCCTATTGTTTTCCTTGGGATTATTATTCTTTAGTATTATTATTATTTTGCTACCTTTTGGGCACTTTTGGGGCCCTTAACGTGCTCGAAAACTCTTGAAACTTTGCACACGGGTCAGAACCCGCGGCCATCAGAGCCGGGCTGAAGATGGTACCCGGGCGTGGCAGGGCAGCTCGTCAGCGCCCCCTGGAACGGGGTCCGAACACTTGGTCCATAACTCAAACACGCTTGTATGTAATAATATGAAACTCGGTACACACGTTGATCTCATCGTTTCATCTATACCTCGCGCTCTTACTTTTTACCCCAGCCCAACAGGAATTTGGCTATTGAGGTTTGTTTGTAAAACGCTCGCAATGGAATGTCAAATACTCCTCCTAGAGCTTTGATCCACATTCGACGAAACTCGGTCAGCGTGAAGTCAAGACATTGAGGATGAAAGTTTGCGAGGGGATTTTTTATATCTCGAACGGTTTGTCCGTGGCGAGGAAACGAAATCATGGCGAGAAACGTGAAACAGGAAGTGTGTTATAACTTCAGCATACATTAACTGATCTTGATGAAACTTCAGCAGTGTGTTCGCTGTAAGAGGACGATCACATGGATGTGACTATTGTGAGTCAAAGTTATAGCGCCACCAACTGGCAGCAGGAAGTGTGTCACTTTCAAAATGCTTAGATATCACCCTTTTATTTTTACCCGATTTGCTTCAAACTTCATATGTATAATGTAAACATACGGCAGATGTAGACCTGTGAATGGATTCTTGATATCTTTGAAACTGTTGCCGTGGCGACGCATCAAACTTTACCCTTCTTTTAGGATGCTTTTAGGATGCTTTTGAGACCCTTAGCATGCTTCAAATTGCATGAAACTCGACAGACACATCACATTTATTAGCCAGTAGACATGTGCAAAGTTGCAGAAACGGGCGTGGTGAGGGCTCAGTAGCGCCACCTTTTGACAAAAGTGGGGTGGTTAGTTTTAACTAGAGTTACAAAAATTGGTATGTATATTGTACTCCTCGAGCCGGACAACTTTCTAATTGACACTTATTAGCTAGGACCCACAGAAACTCAGATATTTTTGTTTGAATATGGCCACTCTGAGCCTTTGGCTGGCTGGCTGGCTGGCTGGCTGTCTGTGTGTGTGTGTGTGTGTGTGTGCAGGGGGAGGGGGCTTAACCATTTCACTGCTGTGTGTATGACCTGCATAAAGAAAATACATTTCTCAAGCCTGGTATTTTTTAAATAAGTTTTTATTTTTATTTTTTATAAGTAAAGGCATATAACTAGTTTAATTGTAGTGAATTGACAATAGTTTTATATAATTAGTTTATTAATCAGATTAACTTGGTCAATAAACTTGGTCTGAAAATTTGGTCCATAAATCAAACACACTTGCATGTAATAATATGAAACTTGGTACACATATAGATCTCATCGTTTCATATATACTTCACACTCTTACTTTTTACCCCAGCCCAACAGGAAGTTGGCTATTTAGGGTTGTGTTTAAAACACATGCAATGTAATTTAAATTATTGCTCCTAGAGCACTGAACCAAATTCGACGAAACTCGATCAGCGTGAAGTCAAGACATTAAGGATGAAAAAGTGCCACGGGATTTTTGATATCTCGAACGGTTTGGCCGTGGCGAGGAAACGAAATTATGGCGAGAAACATGGAACAGGATGTGTGTTATAACTTCAGCATACATTAACTGATCTTGATGAAACTTCAGCAGTGTTTTCGCTGTAAGAGACCGATCACATGGATGTGACTATTGTGAGTCAAAGTTATAGCGCCACCAACTGGCAGCAGGAAGTGTGTCACTTTCAAAATGCCGTGGCAACGAAACAAACTTTAACATTATTTTTTGATGCTTTTGGGACTCTTAGCTTGCTTGAAATTGCTTGAAACTCAACAGATACATCACATTTATTAGCCAGTAGACATGTGCAACTATGGCAAAAGATTAAAGTAATGTCAAAAAAGTAAACACTAAAAGCCTCATATCTTCTAAAAATGTAATTATACATCATTTGTTTCTAAATTAAATTATACAAATATTATAACTTCCCCAATTTTTCCTTTTTTTCATTTAAGAATTATGTTTACGTTCAAAAACAGCCAGAATTGTTGTAAAATTCATAAAAAAATAATAATCTGAGTCATACGTAGTGCTATACTGCCCTCTTGTGTTCAATATCAGGTAGGCCTATTGTGTATATTCCCACCGGTTAATCAACGTGTGACTCCGCTGGGACTTGGGAGCTTTTAAATCGCTTACTTAAAACCGAAAGTCAAAATACGGATGTCCGCACAAGACATTAATGGTGTGGAGTAGAGCGAGCATTTTAAATAAATTCCTATTAAGTAGGATTGAACTAAACAGAAAGAATGTTCACTCTGTTCTGCTGGTTCCTCGCTGGTGGATCATATGATTACTTTGTCATAATCTATGACAAAAATGCTATTATAAACCATATTAATAATAGATAATACACATTGCTCTTATTTTTGAAAAATACATTCATGAAAAACAAGATAACAAAAATCATAAAAAATATAGCCATGGCTGCTATAAATGTTTGAAATGCATAGGACAGATGTTTAATGACGCAGCAACATATAATTGAAAGGCAATTAATAATCTGTCATTACGTCACTGCATTATGATATTACGGCTCCAATACGGTGCAGCACAAAGCACTTATGTGCATCCCGAGCGGAGAATGATGTGCTTGAAGCCACATGAAGTTACAGCGCATTGAGTCCGTATTGAAAAGTTCAAAGCACAAAGGAAATACATATTTATGAACAGTGTATTATACATTATCTATCTATGCAATAGTTTATTGAGCCTTTTCTTTTAAAGGTTTTAAATTTCAGTTACTGTGTGCGTGAAGAACAATTATAGTGCTCTGACTCTAGTGTTGTGATCTAACCGACAGCGTCCGACACCCGGTAGAAAGTAACACGATTAAGTTACAGCAATAAAGTCCAGCAAGAAAAAGTTTCTTCATTCGAAAATATAGACCTTTAGACCTTTATCTTAAAGATCCAGTATAATAGGATTAACATTCAATCATCTTGAAGATCGTTTCATCATTGACTGTAACCGAATGTGACGTGCTGTTTGAATGCTGAATGGAGAATGACTGACAGGCGCAGAGAGGGAAAAGTTTGTGTTCTTGAATTTAATGACTTAAATATTAATTTCTATATCACATAATAGCTTCAGAACACTAATAATACAGTACACAAAAACTTTATGGTACTTTAGAAAGTTTTTGTGCCTTTGTGCCTAACATAGAATAGTATATATGCACAATATAGAATTTGAATCAGCCTCGTCAAAGATGGCAGTGTCAGAGCCGATACCGATCCTGAGTATCTAATCGGCGCACTTCTTTTCAACAGTCAAATTGAAATTGAAATTGAAATTGCTTGAAACTCAACAGATACATCACATTTATTAG